TGGTTTGGACCAGAATGGTTGCAAAAACAAACGTATAGACTGGCCAGTTCAACCGAAGTTTGACGTGGGAAACGATAAGCAACTAGAACTCCGTAGTAAGATATCTGTTTATGACGTTGTTGTGAAAAGAGATGATCAACTATTGGATATAACAAAATTCAGTAATGTGCTGAAATATCTCAGAATTATGGCATGGGTTAGACGTTTCGTTGCTAAGGCAAGAAAACTGCCTGCTAATAGTGGAACATTAAGTGCTTCTGAAATTCAGGACACTGAAATTTTTTGTGTTCGTAAAGCCCAGATGGATTTCTTCACACCTGAAATTAAGGCTCTTCAATCTAACAAGTCAATTTCTCCAAGCTCTGATATATTCAGCTTGGCACCGTTTCTTGATGAAAATAAAATTCTTCGAATTAAGGGAAGATTAGAAGAAACCGAATATACAGTTGACGAGAAGCATCCAGTTCTTCTTCCTAAAGATTCCAAATTTACTGAATTAATTGTAAAAAGGGAACATAATAACGTTCTGCATGCGGGAGTTGCAGCAACTTTAGCCAAACTAAGACAGAAATTTTGGATTCCTAAAGGCCGTCAGTTGGTAAAGAAAGTCTTAGGGAACTGTTTAATTTGTCGGAAATACGCAGTAAAACCAGCGAAACAAATGACAGCTCAGTTACCTAAAGATCGAATTGTTGAAACTCCACCTTTCTATGTTACAGGCGTGGATTTCACAGGTCCAGTTTACATCAGGTCTGGAAACGACATTCAGAAATCATACATCGTATTGTTTACGTGCGCTGTTACACGAGCGTTACATCTAGAACTCATTTCCAACATGTCTGCAAACAAATTCATTTTGGCTCTCAGACGTTTCATTTCGAGAAGAGGAAACTGTCGCACCTTTTATTCAGATAACGCGAAAACTTTCAAATATGCTGCCAAAGATTTACAGTATTTTTACAGCATAATTAAAGGTACAGACTTTCAAAAATTTCTAGCAAATGAAGGCTTGACTTGGAAATTTATCGTCGAGCTTGCTCCATGGTGGGGGGAGCTTTTTATGAACGCCTTATGAAAACCATAAAGGAACCGTTGAAAAAGATATTAGGCAGAGCTCAATTGAATTTTGAAGAATTTATGACTGTGTTGACAGAGGTCGAAAATATTGTGAATAGACGTCCTTTGACCTACGTTTACAACGATTTACATGAACCTGAACCGCTTGCACCGGCTGATTTTCTATTGATCGGACATAAGGATGAATATCCATACAACTTTGCTGAGATCCTGAATAACTCTCCAACAAGAAAGAGTCTAATAAAACGAAAAGAATATCAGACAACACTTATAAAACAGTTCTGGAAAAAATGGAAAAATCAGTATCTTCCTTGAGTTAAGAAATGCTCACTTCTTCGGTACACCAGAAGCCAAGAAAAATCTTAAAATTGGTGATATAGTTTTACTTGAAGGAACAACTAAATCTAAGTTCCTCTGGGATTTAGGTCGAGTAATTCAAGTCTTCAAAGGTACGTGATGGTCTTGTACGATCATGTGTGGTAAAAACTAAAAAAGGGGACCTTAAGAGACCTGTACAATTGATATGCCCCCTTGAACTATCAGACTGAAAATGAACTAATTTTGTAACCTTTTAATTTTACTTCTTATATTTCATATTCACTAACATTAATTTTAGATAATTATTAGTTTAGTTATTACTAATAATTTACTGTTTGTAATTTGAATTAATATTTACGTATTGAGTAACATTTGAGTTGATGCAGTTAACTATATTTGTTTATTTTATAGAATTTCCTTTTGCAGTTTATATTTACATCAGTTGAATGTATTTGATATGTAAGTTGCTTTCTTATATTTTATTATTTGTATGCTGAAATAGTGATAATTTTTGCAGAAATTATCAGGTGGGGAGTGTGGAAAAATTCCCCAAATGATTTATGTATCGCCGTTAGAGGGCGCTTCGCTTCTGAAAAGGAATGTTAGTTTTTAGTTTGCGACGTAGTTAGTTAGCAGTGAACCTTCGATGCAACGAAAGTTGCTTTGTAAATAAAATGATTATTTTTGTAGATTGTTGAAATATTTCACTTCATTTAGAATTAGAACCACCTTTCGCAATAAGTACCAGCCTCTCTTTCAGCCACTTCAAAAGCATCAGTTTGTTTAGAAATAAATTGTGCAGTTAATGTCATAAAATTTAAATAAACATCAAATGAAAATTCTCAGTTTTAGACAATTCGATTTAAATGAAGTAAAGTAGCAGACGATAAAACGCCAAAGGTAAAAATTTACTCTTATTAAAAAAAAAAAAAAAAAAAGATAGAGAGAAATTTTAAAAAATATTAAAAAATTTATTTAAAAAAATAGCTTTTCATGTAGTATTAATAAATATTTATTACGCATCACTGAGGGAAAAAATGTCATATAATTAATTCTCGGTAAAATTTTACTTGAAATTTAAGGTTAAAAATAGCTGTGGCAATACAGTGTAACAAAAATCCATAGACCACATTTGGCGTTATTATCGCTCAAAAAAAAGATGCCAAATTTCAAAACGCAAAAATATGTAAATTTGTGTATATCTTAGAAAATTTTGAATAAAAAAGTCTAATTTCTTGCAGATATGCTTAAAAATATACCTACTTTAAGATGATGGTAAAAATTTTATAAGTTATAATTTTACAAAATTTTTTCGAAAAATTTATAAAAATTATTTAAAAATAGAAATTCAAAAAATAAATCAAAACACAATGCGTAAATTTTATTTGGAATGAACCTAAATTTCGAAATGTGAGAGAAAAAATCAAAAAAAATTTAATAAAAAAAGAGATATAAATAAATATTTGCCAAACTCAATTAACATTGAGGAGCTAAAATTTTGAGAGCTAATATTTCAAAAACTACTCGTACGATTTTTACAAAACTTGGTATTCTGGCATAATTTGAATCGTAGAATCGAAATATGAAAAAAAATTGGTATGTTATTTCAGAAAAAGTCCAATTTTGTGTCAAAATACCTATGTTAGAATAGTGCTATATATAAATCTAATATATATCCTAAGTCGCGCTTTCGAGACATGAAGAACGCAATTTGAATTTCGTGAATCGCCCCAGTAGAAGGGAAGATATAGCACTGTCCCATTTTTTTTTTTTTTTTTTTTTTTTTTTTTTTTTTTTGAGCAGTGTACCATGAAGTGTGGACAGAATATATTGAGAGTGATAGTTTGCTTTGAATAAAACCAAATCCCATTTACCAAAATATCATTTATTTGCTGTTAGCCAACTGCAGCCATAATTACCTGCCACTACAATAAGTATCTGGTATTCAGATTTCTGCCGAAGTTAGCTTGGCATCTATCAAAGCTCCCTATTTCTGAAATAATGCAAGTATCAAAAATGCTGCTTCTGCAGACAATAAACAGTCAAAATATAACTGAGGTCTAGAAGAAACAGACCTGCTCTATTTTTTAACCAGATTGCAATAACAAAAATAAGATCCATTAAAAGTAATAATTAAGAAATAAGCTGTGTAATGTATAGATATATTAAAAACTTATACTTCATCTATGAATGAAATCACACGTTTATGCTCATACTCAAGGGACATGAAAGTTATTCACTTTTGCATAAAACTAACTTTGAAATGGCAGTTATTTTTAAAACACATACCGTATACCCTCGTGTAATATCCGTGTTCATGTAACGTCCGCACCCCAACTTTACAGATAAAATTTAAGTTAAAAAAAGTGACTCGCACAAATGTCCGCACTCCAAAAAATAAAGAATTTCTTACTTTAAAATATATTTTTTTTAACATCACCTTTTTTCCTTTAGCCAATAACATTAGTCAATAAACACCTATAAAGAAAGAATATCCATTTGTTTTGTCTTTGGTTGGTACCAGGATGGAAAGCAGAGACTTTCCTTGCATTCTGGTGTGGCTGTTATTCAGTCATAACATCAGCGCCAGCAATTCACTCAGTAGATGCGATAATAAATGTAGTCCAAGCAGGTTTTCACCACACTGGCTTCCAGAAAACACTGTTTTGTAATGATATTACTTTTTGCTCTTTCCTCCTTGAAGCATTCGCATATTTCAAGCTTTTTCTTTTCATTCATAGTATCATTTGAGATTTGTGGTAGTTAGCAGGTAGCGTGCTTGAAATGGGAAAATGCAGCAGTTTTTAACTGAAAGTCATAGAATTTGCAGAGGAAAATGGAAAAAGAGCAGCAGCAAGAGTATATAAGGTGAACAGAAAGCGTGTGTGCAATTAGAGCAAACAGCGTGATCACCTGGTGGCAATGAACAAAACAAAATGTATGTTTTGCGGTTCGAAACATAAGTTTCCAAACTTAGAAAAAAAGTAGTTGCATATGTTCATGATATGCATGCTCAAGGATACCCAGTAACATGGAAATATGCCAAATAAGAGTGCTTGCTGCGGCACGAGAAGAAGACATTCCTACATCGCAATTCAATGCAAGTGAAGGCTGGTTGCCACGAATGCTGAAATGAAATGGGTTTAGTACAGTGCGTCAGAACAGATTTTTTTTTAAATAATGTGTGCATGATATTAGTTAAAAGAACCAACGTTTATTTAATTTGTGTAAAAGTAAATATTAAAATTGCAATTGTTGGTTAATTTGTGCCTCTATATTATGCTTCTGTGTGAACTAATACGTGCCAAATGTTGATAACATAAAAGGGATAATTTATATTATTCATGAGGATGGAAAAAAGTGAGTTTGTAAATTTTAGGTAAATATTAGACAACTTTAAATTTGATATTTTTATTACTTATGCCATTTTCTTCCACTTAGAACTTAACTTGGCTGTTTGAAATGAAATTTACATGCAAAATTACTCATGAGATAAAGGGCGACATTTGCACAACCCGCGTAATGTCCGCACCTGCATTTTAGTGATGTAATTTTACTAAAAAAAGTGTGAGCATATACAGTACATGATGGTAAGTAACACTTACCTCACTGAATAGTTTAACCAATTGTTTACTTTGTAAGTTGTAAACTCTCTTGCCAACATTTGGAAGCAGCAACTTAACCCATAAGAACAAATCTCCTTTGAAACTTTCTATAATGCCAAAGGAAATAAAAATTACTAAAATAAAATTATTTAAAAATAAAGATTTAGATTTCAAGATTATGTTCCTAAATTTTTTAATCTCTCTCTTAGAAAGCATATATAACAAAAAATATATATAGTTGATTAATGTTAAGAATATTTAAAAAAATAATACTACTAAAATAATTTTCAGCCATATTTAATAAATTTCATCATCTCAATCAAAACATAATTTATAATGAAGATTTTTGTTCCTAGTAATACTTTATGCATACCAGTTATATAAAAATAATAATATTTCTTATTATTACTGCCCTCGTCTCATAAACACCAAATTAGCCCCATTTCCTTTATTTTATATGCTTGCCAGGAATCTGAATAAATTGCCAATCCTTCTTATAAATAGTCAACAAGTTTTGTTTTGAGTGTGGTTAACCTCTCTGTTCAAAACCGGAGTGAGAAAGAATTTTCTAGGCATTTTGGCATCATCCATTATATATCAACTATTATAAAAGAATCCTGCCAGCTTTGTTTCTTCCCTGAATGAACATATTTTAATTTATGTGCATAATTTTTAGGGCTAACCTATTTGTTAATTTTGCTGTTGAATTAGATCTAAGGAATTTGCATATCTCATACAACTACTCCAGTCCTATACTTGCATTTTTGTAAAGGGCGAGTTCCATCTCCGACTTAATCAATGTTAGTTTCTTTAAACAACAGTAAATAAACCATGGAATTGTTACAAACACTATTCTAAAACCACCGAGTCAGTTGTAAAAAAATATGCTTTTTCTTCACTTGCAACCTTTCATGCAACATCTTCATATGCTTTCATTGATATGTAGTTTAATTGAATGACCATATTCGAATGTGAGGTAAAATATGCATTTCTTGAGAAAACAATATAGTATCTTTCTCACTTCTCAGTAAATTGAACCTTTTAAACACTTTTTTGAAAAAAAATGCATTAACACATTTAATACTAAGAGCTCTTTTTGTGACAAGAAAATTATGGTATGAGAAGTATTTCACAAATTTGGAATAATTATTGGCTGAAATGTTATTTAAGGGCTGTGCCATTAGCTTTATGTAAGAATCATATGACATGAATTAATTTTGAAAAGCTAACCAATAATTTTACAATTTTGCTGAGAATACATCATTTCCAAAATTTTATGTTACTTTGATGTTACTTGCAATACATGAAATCTTGCATGGTACAAACGAATATGTCATTTCTGAAATATCACATGAACTATGCAATACAAATGAGATTAAAGTTCTTTAACCCCTTAACTGCCACGGAAAACGTACAAGATTCATTTGCCAGTGCCATGGTTTTTCACACAGCCGTGCGTAGTTATGCAATTTATTGGGGGGAAATAAGTGCAAGTTTTACTTTCTAAAAACTGTTTACTTTCACAAAATAAAGAATAAAAGAAAAAAATGAATGCACAAAATTTAATTTTTTGAGTAAAAGTATAATAAAAATGATGTTTTTATAATAAAAAAGATCCCTAAAATGGAGTTTCGATCAATTAATTTTTAGACCAGTAAAGTGTAATATCGGGTTTCAGTGTTATACCTTGTAAAATCGGTATGCCTGAACAAACATATATTTCTTCTGAACTGAATGCCATGATTTTGTTCTTCATTTTTCGTTTGCAAGGTGTTGGTTCATATACTCATCTACAAAACGGTTAGTTTCAGTAACAATATGAAGCACGAGCAGTTCATCAAAAAATAATTCAAAACAGATAAATGGGTATGAAATATCCGTTATATCTTTCTTTATTCCTGGAACCTACCATAAAAAGTAAATGAAAACAGAGGACACAGAATAAAAAAAATATGTTTTACTCAAACACCAGCCAATACCGTGCAGTCATTACTTTAACCGCTTTAGACACATCCCTCTCTTCAATTTCTCCCCACATTTCTCTGAAATAGTATCCTCCTTCGCATACTTTGTCAAGGTCATTGTGGTGTTGCATTCCAAAGCTTTGCAAATAATTTTACAGGTAGCAGCGCAAACAAATGATAGTATTTTGGAAGGGCGTATATATATATGCCCGGGACAGATGATGCATCGGCTGAGCAAGGCGTATATATATATGCCCGCAGCAGTTAAGAAGTTAATATTAAAGCACATTTTCCACTCGTGTCAACTCAATATTATAAAAAAGATTATTGCATGCAATAGCAAAAGGAGAAAAAAATATGTTACATTGTTTTACGATAATGTAGATTCTCTTTAGTAACCTAATTTTTTTTTAGTTCTTTATTTTTTCTATCTAAATTCAGTTTCAGAATCTATTGCAATTCAAAGATCTGAAAGCAGATCTCTAGCCTAGAAAATTTTTTAAAAAATTACATACGTGCATAAAAACATATATATCACCATGAAAGTTTACTGCAAGATGACAACTGGGGCTCGCTGAATTATAAAGAAAATGAAAATATTTAAATTGCTGATACAACAGAACTACAATATGAAATGAGTTCACAAACTAGTTTTGGTACTCTTCTGTTATCAGAACTGGATCAAACAATGTACGTAAACTGCGCAAAACAAAAAGGGTCAGTTCCATATCTCCCGTTCTACTGGGCCAATTGACAAAATTCAAATTGCATTTTTTATGCCTCAAAAGGGCGACTTAGAATGTATATTAGATTTATATATAGCACTATTCTAACATAGGTATTTTGACACAAAATCAGACTTTTCTGAAATAACATCTAATTTTTTAACATATTTCGATTCTACGACTCAAATTATGCCAGGCTGCCAAGTTTTGTGAAATTCGCACGAGTAGTTCTTAAAATATTAGCTCCTCAATGTTAATTGAATTTGGTATATAATTATAAATATCTCTTTTTTTTTATCAAACTTTCTTTATTCTTCCTTTCACATTTCAAAATTTAGGTTCATTCCAAATAAAATTCAACTACTTTTTATGATTTATTTTAAAAATTTCTATTTTTAAATCATTTTTTACAAATTTTTCAAAAAAAAATTGAATTATAACCCATAAAATATTTACCATCATCTTAAAGTAGGTGTATTTCTAAGCATACCTGCAAAAAATTAGAGTTTTTTATTTCAAAATTTTCTAAGATATGCACAAATTTACATATTTTTGCGTTTTGAAATTTGGCATCTTTTTTTGGGGGGGAAAGCGATAATAACGCCAAATGTGGTTCATGGATTTTTGTTAAAATGAATATTCACAGCTATTTTTAACCTGAAATTTTTATGCAGAATTAATTATATGAAATTTTTCCCCTCAACTATGTAAATAAATATTTATTAATACTATATGAAAAGTTATTTATTTTAAATTATAGATGATATTATTCAAATTTTTAACTTTTTTTTAATTTCTTTCTTTCTTCCATTTTTTTTTTTTTTTTTTTTTTTTTTTTTAATATTTGTAAGAGTAAATTTTTAGCTACGCCATGTTATTGTCTGCTACTTTACTTTAACTGCATTCAAATTGAATTGTCTAAAACCAACAAAGTTTGTTTGATGCTTATTTTCACAATGTTTTTAAGCAAACAGGACGTTGACAGTTTGGGTCATGTCCCAACTTTAAAAATTATATATATGTAAGTACAAATTTTTATATTAATCCTCTGAGAAAGAATGCTTTAAATATCTAATTTTCTCTCGTGTTATAGATTGTATAAAAAACATCATCTTTAATATAATTTAGATTGTTTGCAGCTGATATAATAATCAGGTCACTCAGTGGAACAGAATAAATACTGCTGGACTGTTTTATTTCTTTCTCATTTAGCAAAAAATTCTTTTAATTAAAATAATCTATCCTCTGGACTTTGTTTTAAACTTTATTTATAGTTAAATTTCCTAGAAAATGAAAAGCTGTCTTCAGCTCATACACAATTGATATAATTGATATTTTAAAAAAAATTGATAAGAATACAAAATTTATGGAAGTGTAACAATCGAAAAATGTTAATTTTCTTGTGTGAGCACTGAAAATAAATGTAGAAGGAAAGAAGAAAATTGGGAAGAAAAGTAAGCAAAAATTTGAAGGGGAATTTGGCTGTCAGAAATACCAAGGTGTTTTGAAAAGTTGAATGCTTCTGAACATACTTTCAGAGCACTTCAAAGAATTTGGGTCTTCAAAGAGAAAACACTTGGACATGTACACCAGCAAATACCATCAATAGAGCTTGTACTAATGGAAAAGACAAAAACGATATCATTGCAGATTAAACTGAAGAGCGACTTGTTTAAATTTATACAACCATATAGTCATATGGTTGTATAAATTTAAATTACATTATAGAACATCATGTCATCATAAACGGAGAATCCCATGATTCCTTAGTCAAATTATTTGAAGATTCAGGAATTTATCCAGTGATGTATGTAGATGCCACCTAAAGACGTTTTCCCTCTTGATGAAAAAAGTCTTTCCTTTCATCTCTTGCCTTCAAAATGCTTAGCCTCTAAAGACTGAAGAAGGCTCTTACGAAATACTGATGAAATTGATTGATTTGGATTATTAAGTTATGGGAATGCAGGGCTATCTGCTTAAAAAGAAGGATGCCTTCCTGAAGAACTTTCTAAGGGAAACCAGCTGCCATACACATTACACATGAGAAAAGACACGAAAATGCCCATGCAACCAGCACGTTCACCAAGATTCAAATACCAGAGCGAACTACCAGTATTCAGCGACTTTACCGCTCAGCCATCTGTGGGCCTTTATGAAATGGAAGGTGATAACTTTATTTAAAATCAATGTCAGAAATACCAATATGTTTCAAAAAGTTGCATGCTTTTTAACATACTTGCAGAATGCCTGAAGAAAAAAAGCAAGCCATTAAGAAGAAAAATTAATTTTTGCATAAAATTTAGTTTTTTTTTTTTTTTTTTTTTTTTTTTTTTTTTTTATTTATTTAAAACTTTTTAATCTTATGATACTTGATTCTTGCAATTTCAAAAATAAAATATTTGACTAAAATATAAATAACATTTTAAGAAACTAAATGTAGGATGATAAAATTATGTAAAGCAATGATGAGCACAATGATAAAGTAGCTTAAAGCAATGTATGCAAGTCTTCCTAAGTTAAAATGCTGGTTACATATCTCTCTTGTTTATATATATTTTCTGAACAGAACATTGAAAGGCGTATTAACTGTGCTTTACTGTATTTTCTCTTTTAACGTATGCAGTTTTCAAACGCATTGTACTCTGGGTCACAAAGTAATCTTCCAAAAGAAACGCTATTCAAATAAATAAAATCAAATTCTGGGAAATTTATATTAATAAATATATTTAAAATGCTCAGTTTAAATGAATAAATAGAAAATTTTAAAACAATTATCTAAAGAGACAATGCAATACACACAATTAAAATAAAAGTCTAAAAATTTAAAAATTACCTAAAATAATAACTATGACAAAAAAAATAAATTATAAAGAAAACTATTAAAAATAAATAAAAAATGATGCACCTTTTATTTAAACTATCCAGTTCAAATGGGTAAATAGAAATTTTTTAAAACAGTTATTCGAAAGGCCATGCAACTTAAACGGTTTTAAACGGGAATTCGAAAATGAAAAATTCTTAAAATAATAACAATTATAATTAAAAATATAATATAAAGAACATTATTGAAAAAAGGAATAATTGTGACTTTTTTCCCGCTCACACATGATGTAAAAAGGGAAAGCAAAATAGGTTGCCATGTAATAAGAAGTTCGCCAAGTACACTATTATTGGCGCAAACTGAAAAAAAAAAAAAAAGCGCCAACATAAATTTGTGAATTTCTCCATAAACTTTGCACCAAATTCTTCAAAATTTCATATTTAGGCATAATTTGAGTCATAGAATCGAAATATGGAAAGAAATTGGTATGTTATTCATAAAAAGTCTGATTTTGTGATAAAATACCTATGTTAGAATAGAGCTATATATAAATCTAATATATATCTTAAGTCGAGCTTTCAAGACATGAAGAATGCAATTTGAATTTCGTCAATCGGCCCAGTAGAACGGGAGATATAGAACTGTCCTCTTTTTTTTTGTGCAGTGTATATGTGCATATATGTATAGCTATATGTGTATATTTATACACACAATGTACATTGCGAAAAAAAAAAAAGTAAAAAAGAAAGAAACAGTTCTATACCTCTTGTTCTACTGGGCCGATTGACGAAACTCAAATTGTGTTTTTCATGGCATGAAAGCGTGACTTAGGATATGTATTAGATTTATATATAGCTCTATTCTAACATAGGTATTTTGACACAAAATTAGACATTTTCTGAAATGACATGCCAATTTTTTTTCCATATTTTGTTTCTAAGACTCAAATTATGCCAAACTCCTAAGTTTTGTAAAAATCACGTGAGTAGTTTTTAAAAAATTAGCTCTCAAAATTTTAGCTACTTAATTTTAATTCACTTTGGTATGTATTTATTAATATCTTTTTTTTTATGAAGCTTATTTGATTCTTTCTTACATAATTCAAAATTTAGGTTTATTCAAAATAAAATTCATGCATTTTTTATGATTTATTTTTTAAACTCGTGTTTTTAAATAATTTTGATAAATTTTTCAAAAAATTTTCCATTATAACCTGTAAAATTTTTACGATCATCTTAAAGTAAATATATTTCTAAGCATACCCGCAAAAAAATTAGAGCTTTTTATTCAAAATTTCCGAAGATATACGTGAATTTATATATTGGTGCATTTTGAAATTTGGCATATTTGTTGAAAGTGATAATAACGAAAATCTGGTTTATGCACTTTGTTCAAATTATTTGATAGTAGGAAGGACGTGACTTTTCTTCCGTTAATCCACAATGTAAAAAGATTGGAACAATGTGAATTTTCTTCCACTCCTGCCCAATGGAAGCAGAAAGAAAATAAGCTACCATGTATTAAGAAGTTCAGCAAATGAATTATTCTTGGCTCAAACTGAAAAAATGCGGCAAGTTAAATTTTTGAATTTGTCCATAGATTTTGCACCAAATTTTACAAAATTTAATATTTACGCATAATTTGAGTCATAGAATTGAAATACTGAAAAAAATTAGTATGTTATTTCAGAAAAAGTCTGACTTTGTGTCAAAATACCTATATTAGAACAAAGTTATATATAAATCTAATATATATCCCAAGACAACTTTCGAGACATGGAAAAGACAATTTGAATTCCTCCAATCGGCCCAGTAGAATGGGAGATATAGAACTGCCTCTTTTTGTGTGTGTGTGTGTAGTGTACATTCATGCATATATATATGGGTACTTACGAAAACTCATGTCGACCACAAGAGACGACACCAATTGTGCCAAAACAAAAACAGAAAAAACAAACATTTATTAAATACAAGAAAAAATGTTCTATTTTTATTTTTCTTTCAAATTTTTCTTCAAATATTTCTATTGGCCTTGATAAAAGGCTGTGTGTGCAAATCCAATTTATAACGGTCTTGTCACTTAACTCTAATTCCTCTTTTCTCCATTCGATAGTTATCAGTTCTCTGTGCCAACTATAAATGAATCGGAGTGCAGTAAAAAATTAAATAGTAGAACCCTTGAACCACATTCCTTTTTTATTTGACACTCGCTTCACACAAGCCTTAACGTTGCAATGCCACTGCTTCTCAGTTTTTAAATAAAGCATCATATTATGCCCATTAACACACTTTTTTGAGGCCGGTAAGATACCATAACTTTGAAAATATTCAACAGCATTATCTTCTGTAGTAGGCAGGTCTTAAATTTTAATCATTTTTTTTTTTTTTTAATGTGATAGGGGGGGAAAAAAGAGTCTTTACTCAGGAATAATAACTAACATGTGTAATCAAGCTTATACCAAATCCAGCACGCTTGAAGAAGACTTTTCCATTTTTGGAGAAAAATCATGTAGTTTGGAGTCCTTTCTTTTAATAGGCAAAAATGGCCGACGGGATTTTCCGTAAGTACCCATATATGCATGCATACATGAACACATCTATACATACATACATGCATATATACATACATTTCTGAGTTTGGTGCTGATAACAAAACAGTACTCCAGTTTCTTTCAATTTAGTAGAAGAAACTTATTTGTTCTAATCATTTTTTTCTGCTGCAAAGAAAGTTGCCAACCCTGCTATTTGCACCTTCAAGTCATGAAATTACGGACAATATTTTTTTGCTTTCTTTACATATGCTAATCCAACACAGTTATAAAACTATAAATGTATAAGATTTGTATCATTAGCAAAACTGAACAGCAGCGCAAGAATGTATACATTTTATTAAGAAGCATAAATATTGGGCAAGTAAGCAAAATGCATTAATACTGGGCATAAATTTTGGGCACGCAGACTGTTTCTCAAGTAAGTTCCCTAAATACTGTTTTTCAAATCATATAATTTACATTAGATATTTATGGCACACTTTTCTCTTTTTGTATTTATAAGTGCCGAACAGATCACACACATTAAACACATTTAAAAATTAATTAAAAACACTCAATCAGGACTATGTATAAGAAATAAAGAACAATTTTTAATTACGGGTATCTGACTTTTTTAAAATTATAATAAGTTACAGAATGAGCTGATAAATATTCTTTATGAAATTTTCAGAATACAAACAACAAGAGATAATATTTTAAAATGTAGCTTCCAAAATATGATAATGTTAAGGCAACAGGTAAAATATTTTTTTTAGATTTCTAAATATTTTGATGTAAAATACACAGGAATAAAAGGAATATCAAAGATATTTTAATGATAAAGATCTAAATTTCGCTCATAACCACAAGTAATATTAATTATGGAAAATATAAAGTATGAGAAAAATTCTTTTGTTACATATAATCTTAGCAATTATAGAAAGTAACTAACAAAAAACAATAAAAAAAAATTCCATACAAAAGTAATTTTAAGACTTACGATTTGAAAATTAGTCTATGTTCAAACAATTTAAATCATTAAATTTTTACACAAATCAAGAGTTGAAAATAATTCCCCATTCCCAGCAAATACAAAAAAAAAAAATTACTTTTCTATTAAAATCAGTAATACTGATATTACATATTACAATACTCATACATCTTCTTTCTGTTTAGAAAAATATACATACCACCATCAGATCCTTTAGAAAAGAAGTCAGACAAAATGGCAGTTTTATTCTTGTAACTTGGTTCTTCAGCAATTTTTGAACATACTTTTCGAAATTCTCTTAAAGTATCATCTTTTGATGGACTCTGTGGCTTATCTAATTAATGTTAAAAAAACCACTTTAACAAATAATTAATTAATGAACTTTTTTAATCTTAATCGTACACATGTTTTATATCTAAATTATTTAGAATATATCAAATTTCTTTGGCATAAAGTTTACAAGACAATGTTAGAATGTTATTAAATCCTTCCCATCATATTCAGTTGCATGTACGAGTACTACAAAAATTACTAACCAAACATTAACAACAACAACTGATATAAGAAATTTACTTATTACCCCATCAACGTGAAAGCTGGCTGCCATTGAACCAGAAAATTTGGCAGAAATCCTGCCAAAGTTGTATCACTCGTTCTGGCGGAATTCTAGAAATTATGTCATTGTTTAATAAACATTCAGTACTTGACCCATTCCATTTCTACATTCTGTAAAAGGCTTTCATTGACCTCTTATTTTTTTTAGGCATTCCAATTTTATCGGAAGCAATATTGCTTCTGGTAAAACACAAAATGTAAGCAATGTCATTTTGACCACTAAGGGTACAAACTGCTCAAAAATAATTTATGTAATCTATCACTGTTTTATCAGCCATATTCAGCAGACCATATCACATCCACTAAAATATGCATTTTTTAATGATAGGATCTCGTAGCTTTGAAAAATAATTCACTGCTTGCTTGCTATCCTGTAGATAACAAATCCCAAATATTAATAACTTTTTCTTAAAATTCAACAAAAACACAGTAATAACAGTTAACTTATATCACTGTTCATAAAAACAAACTGTGGCTTGTCAAAAATCAGTCGTAAGTTATATCAAACAAAAGTGCAGATGTTGTGTGTTGCTAAGTTACACTTATCCATAACTGTCGCTAAATCACACTACTATTTCACAATCAATGAAATAGCATGTAAGTACCAAAAACAATAACAATAATTGCAATTTGTAGCAATAAATATTTCTATAAAAAAGAAGTTCTAAAATTTTATTTCCACATTAAAAAATATATTAAAAGATTTATATAAAAATGAATGATAAGTTAACATAACAGTTAACATAAAGCTACATCTTTATATTTCAGAACTTTATATTGTTAAGGAATAAATCAAAGAAGCTTTGTTAAATTCTAATTGAAACATATCAAAACTCTTAAATAATAAATACCAGGGATAGTAGGAGAGTCAAAAGACTTCTCAACAGATTTTGTAGGCGTTTTCTTTAGATTTTTCTTAGGAGTTGAATTTGAAGAAAACTCTAGACAAAAAGAACAAAAATTAATTCTAATTATAAATTCAAAACAGCTCAGCATAGTCATTACAATAAATATGCTTTCATATAAAAAATAAAAATTTCGATTTGGGGGAGCATTTCATTAGAGAAATTTACTGAAACACAGTTTTATTTCAAATACTATTTAATATGTCTTCTTTAATTTGATTCATATTTATGAAATAAAAAATGTTTGATGAAAGTAAACTTTGCCAACTGTTCTTTGTAAAATATGAATTTTTCTGATTAATAACATTACTTCAGAAAGGCTCTGTTTTGAAACTATTTATTATCTTATAATCTGCATCTAATTAAAATTAAATTATTTCATTTATTATTAGTAACATGAGCAATTAAAACTATGAAACAAATACATATATATTAACAATGTAACAAATGTATGTAAAAATGCAACAGATTCCTGTGTACATGAGCCAGTTTCCCTTAAAAAGTCCTCCACAAAAGCATTCCTCCTTCGGTGTGATTTAGGTGTAGTTTATGTGATTGTGGCAAAGCCTCGAGGGCTATCTCATTCAAGTCACCATTGAAGGTGATTTTGGCATAGTCACCACAAAGGCAGCTGTTACTCCGGTAGAGTTAGATAACGAGTACTATTTGTTAAGAAATAAAACTGCACAGTTGATAGAGGAAATTAGGGAACAACCAGCTCTCCTGAATGTTGTGGAAACTGGTAGTCAGGTGTATGCATGCAGGAGTTAAACTATGAAATAGTCGATAAACTATTATTTTATACTAAAACAACAAATGAGAATAGTGAAATAAGGCCAGTCATTTCAGCCAGGTTGCGACGCAGTATTTTACACAAATTGCATGACACAGTCACTGCTGGTCACCAAGATATTCGAAAAACTTCTATGTGCTGTGGCTCTCATTGCATAAATCATCTGAAGTTATGGAAAAATTATAATGTTCTGCAACTATTCTCTCAATTATGTTCATTTTCTATTTTTTATACATCAAAATAGCATAAGAAATATGCATTTCTTTTTCAGATTCTTTAGTACCAAACTGAAAAATAGAACCTGATAGACTCATAACACCAGAGAACTGTACAAAATTGGCATCATGCACAACCTACAACAAACATGAAATGAAAAAAAGGAGAGTAAACTCCATAGTTTTTACTTATGGCTAACTTTAAAATGTGATACAGTCAAAAGTCATTAATCTGGACTCATTGGGACTTCGGCGATACCGGATTATACATCATCAGTTTAAATCTGGTAAGATGGCATGCAGAAATTGCAAAATTAAAAATATGAAACCATAATTTATGAAATAAAGAACAATTATGATCTAAAGGGTATCAAAATTTACAAAAAGAAAAAGCTTAATATTTATTTGTTTACTTTATTAAACATTTCTTTCAACACGCACATAGTCGAAATTAGAAAATTGCAACCAGAAAACTAATTGATGTGTATTCCCGATATTTATAATGACGAGGAATTTGATTTAAATCATATCAAAGACGGAGTGCATCGAGATGAAATACTACATTTAGTAAGGAATTATAAGCCAAATAAAATAAAAACATCTGTCCTGAAGATAGGGATAGTGCTGACAGATCAACTTCCAATTCATCGCGTGCCGTGGCGTTCCCCCCCCCCTCCGGCCGTAGAGCAGCGTGAAATTGACAAACAGATTTCGGATTTCGAAACATACTTTCGCTTTGTAGATCCTTTACGTATTAGTAAATATATATCAGAAATTCTATTTGACATAATCGAAAGTTCAAGCTTACTTTTATAAAATTGCTCTAACAGTCTTCAAAAAATAATAAGCCGGATCCAATTAGAAGATTAAGGAACAACGCAATCTGCAACATTAATTGAATTAGATAATTTTAACTTAGCTTATACCATCCGTTATACATTAAACGCGCACGCGTAAATGTATTATGCACATGCGCACATGCATATTCGCAGCCGTAAAGGTCTTACGCGCACGCGTTAACTCCTATGCGCATGTGTCAACGCAACGCATGCACATAGGTGGCCAAGCATTAAAGAATTAAAAAAATTAATTTGAATTAAAAATTAAAATTCATTGAATTAAAAAATGTTAAAGTATCACATTTTTAATTAATCCCGAGCACATATTATGTTTTAAAATATGAATGTGTTTAATTTACATGGGGCATTAATAGTACTATTACCTAAGTTAACAGACAAAATTTCAGCTTCAGCATACCTGATAAGCACTTCAAAACCTCTTCTCTGTGTTCATCACTGAGCTGATCCCAGCCTTCAAGATCATCAGGACCTTCAATTTTCTTTGTTGTAGCCCGTGCTCTTGAAAGCTTCTCAAATATGCATCGAACATGAAACCATTGTTTCATATCTCCTCCACTTTCAGTAAAAGGATTGGGAATTATTTTTGCAATTCGAACTAATCCTTTATCAATTTTAACATTGCAGTTTTTGCATCCAGCAACCCCACGCTTTGCAAGATCTACACAATAACGATTGTTGGCCATGATGAAATTCTCTACGCAAGATACAACGGAGATACAATTTTTACAGGTTGCAAGATCATTCAGTATTGTATTGTAACACTTCAAGTTCCCATAAATATTTCTGAAAATTCTTGACAGGACATTCATTCATTACTATAAGGAAACAAAAATTACTTTTACAGCAAGTTGACAACAAAGATAAATGCAGGGAATTATACATACAAAAATATATCTATATTCAAGTAAAAATTAAATTATATGAACATTCCGAACATTCAAAGGTGCTAATCAAACCTGAAACTATTATCTTCATTTATTCTCATAATAATTGCATGTTGTTAATTTTTGGCCATATCTTACTTCACATAGCCATACATTTATCACTTCAAAACGCTATATTATTTACAATCTTTTAAAACTGTAACAATTAAGTAAAATTTAAGTATGGCCTCCCAACTATACAGCTGCTGACTAAAGAAAAAATTTAATGTAAAACACAGACGTTAAAAATTTAAAAGTAAGTTTACAAAATATTCAAAAAGGCATTTAGACTAGATCCTAGATCAGGGTAATAGTGAAACACATTATATTACAATACGTATGATGTAGAAATAGGGAAATAACAACTTAAGAAAATTGTACAAAAATGTAACTAACATGATATATTTATTACATAACACCGTTGCATGAATATATATAATTTAGATAAAAATTATTTTCGTTATTAAATGAAATCACTACTGATCATAATTTATTTTTATAATCAGCGGAAACCAAATTAGCGTTAAATGCACTGCAAAGTACGATCATTTGTTTGTATTCACCTCCCTCACCCCCCCCCCCCCCCCACCCCCCCCCCCCCCCCCCCCCCCCCCCCCCCCCCCCCCCCCCATTTCAAAATTTGACGTACACAAGCAGACAACACATGCGTGCAAATCGTAATGCCGTTTAACAAATTATTTATTATGAAATAAAAATTATTAAATAAATATTGTCTTTCAATTAAGTATTAAAAGCCTCTTAATCAAATTCTACACTGTTAATTTAAAATTTTACGCAAAGTTATCTAAATAATTACTTTCTTTAAAAAGTAAGACGAACTATTTAACGTGATTATTGTATCCTGTCCAGTACCCTTGATGGAATAAATAAAATTACTTATTTTAAACTATGCATATTTAATAATAATATAATCTACACGCGCACAATTATATATATATATATTTATTTATTTATTTATTATTTTTACATATGTGTGGTACCTTTTAGCTAACAATAACTGGCATCACTTATTTCTTAAGTTATTGAAATTATTGATATGAGGTCAGCTTTGAGCTGTGAATGAGTGTACTGTCTACCAATGTTAAGTTACAATTTAGTGTATTTCTTCTTTTTTGTGTGTTTAATTAAACCAGTGAATTACTTTATTGCTTAAATGTTAATTTTTATTATCAAGCATCGTCTGATACGAGCGCGCTGTTAAAAATGTTAAGTTAAAGCATACAGGACGTGCGTGTGTGTGTGCAGGAAGCTCATTATCTGGCCTCCGTTTATTAACTGAGAGAATTACTCAGTAAGGTATTTGTTACAGCTATCTTTTTTGTTCTCTGCGTATTGCTTTATTAACTTGCTGGTATATTTTTTTGCAGCGAAATCTAAGGTGGGAGTGGCATCAATGAAGTTCATTGTTACAGCCATGCTTTCTGTTAAAGAGTATTCTTATGCATAGTAACCTTTTCATTGTAAAAAGTAATGACCGTATAAGCATCAAATTGTTTTCGGGCATATAATACATAAGATTACATTCTTTTGCGATTTTATGTTCTTGGTGTATAGACCCTTCCCTTTAAAATAGGATAGATCACCAAAGTGTAATTGCTTATTCAACTGTCTAAAATTCTATAAATTTGTTAACTAGTTAAATATATGCAGTGTGTGATTTAAAGTATATGTCACTCAAACATTTCCCAGCATAAAAACTTGTTGAAAAGTGGCATGTATGCTTAGATTCATATTGAGTGTTAAACATTTGTGGTAATAGTTTAAATGCAGTTTACTTGGCGTTATTAAACATCATAGAATCTAAGTTGTCATCACTGGGTTCATAATTGTGTACAGTTGTTGGTAGTAGAAAACATTTTCTTTTGGAAATAGCTTAAAAATATATTCTTTTTGTTTAACTGTTTATATGCCATTAGTATTCTCTAAAAGCTATCTCTGAGATTTTAAAATTTGAGTGTATGTCCAGCATACAGTTATTTTGAGTTTATATTATATATGCCTGGTATGTGTTAATCATAAACTTTAAGCATTAAAGTGCCAGATCTTGTAAATAACAGTTTCACTAAGAGACATTCATTATCTACATGAATATTTGCAGATAATAGAAGTTTCTTAGTTTAATATGAGAAAGTCATATTTATTAAAAAAAGATAAGTTGCTTTTTAATTAGGAATTTTTTTTGTGCATAAAAATTGCATAATGCATAAAGTAGCTATGGTAATTATAGCTTAAGATCCCGTTGAAACATTTTTTATTGTAATTTGTATGGATATATTATATTTTTTATGCAAGAAAATGATCTACTCAGTTATGACATATTCGGGGAGGAATAGTTATTTATTGTGAGTAAAATCATTGTGGCTGCATAAAAATATAAAAATCTCACTTATATACTTTTTTATATATGTAACTCTTCAAGATTATGAAAGAGGCTCTTTTTCAGTAACCTTTGTGCTAAAATCAGATTTTAAATATTTTCTTCAGTATTATTATACATCAATATGAATTTTATGTAATATCTTGGTTACATGCCCTTAAATCATTTTTATTACATGGAAATCTTAGAAAATCCACTATATTTTTTTTGATAAACTATCTCCAGTCTAGCCTTGCTGGTGTTATAATAATAGATTAGATAGGTTGTTATAATTAATATAATAGGTTACTGTAATAGATTAGATTATCTGCTGTGTTTAAAGAGAAATTATTTATCAGATAAGAATTTTTCATCCAAGAAGTTTGCTTTTGTACTTTCAATAGGCATTCAAAGGGTGAAGGTTTGGAGGATGAATTTTTTTTGTCAGAATTTTTTTTTCGTGAGGTGCAATAGTTACTGGTACTGCATATTATGAATCTGAATGAGTTAATGAGAAATGGTATCAGTTCATTTTCTGATAATAATCTTTAAAAACTGGGAAAATATAAAAAATATTTTAATGGAAAAATATTCATTACTTTGTTTGTGCAGAAATTCATGAAATAATATTAAATGAAAGAACTTTGAAGCATTTAGGCAATAGATAATATTGCTTTTCTTGATATAAAAGAATTATATAGTTTCAACAAGTTTTAAAACTGAGAGAATAATATTTCGTAGTAAAACATGTCTATGCAGTTAATTTTTTTTTTTTTTTTTTTAACAACCTCGAGTCTAAAAGACTTAATTTTTTTTTTTTTTTTGGCGGAGGAGGAGTTGATAATTTTGAATGGTTTTATTTATGCTTATTGGTAACATGTTTTTGCATCTTTTCATATTCAATAATTCTATTTCATATTCAATTTCAATTTCATATTCAATAATTCTATTTTTAAAAGTTTCTTCTGACAAAATTTTTTTTTTGCCATTATGCAACATAATATCGTAAAATATTAATATATAATATAATTGAAACTAAGTTGTCTTTGTGTAGGAAACTTTTTGAGTTAGCACTTGCATATCATAAGAAATTATTTTAACCAGATCTATACAGTTACATTTTTAAGAGATAGTTAGGCTCAAAATTAATTTTTAACATATTAAGAACTATAGAATTTTTAATCATCACAAGCGTATATCATAATTTTAAATGAAAAATTGTGAAAGTGTTGAGCATAAAATTTTGTCATTCATTTTTAAAAACGTTAATAGTTTGAAATTTTATTGCTGTGATGCATGCTCATAAAATAATTCTTTTTAATTAAAATTACAATTCTTATTGAATGAAATGGTCCGAAGGATGCTCATTTTCTGTAAAGAACTTCTTTTATTTTGTTTATCATACTGATTAATTAAAATTTTGGTTCTAATTCACAAAATTGTACAAATAAAAAATAATAAATTCAGTTCAGTACTCATTTCTTCTCCCCCCTTTTTTTATTAATTCAATTTCTACTTTTTATTTTCATTCTTTAAATAGAAAATCCTGTCTAAATCTATATCTCTTTTTGAATTATTTGTATATTTTAACCAATACCTGAACCAGCAAACAAAAACTCCCTGCTGTTTGGCAAGTATCTCTCAAGTGCTGAGCACGATTTCAGGAAGTTTATCAAGTGCTGGTTAGCTGAATGTCCCCCAGCTATTTTAGCTATAATTTTTAAGATACTTTTATTTTTCCTCTTTAGTGTAATCATTGGGTATTTTGCAAATCATGCATCAAATATCTAGGGTTCTGATGGAAATATTTTTTTATTTTTTGATAGTTTGAGGCAAAACATTAGAAATGTATATTTAAGTGTGCATTGTGTTTAGGAAAGAATTCTCAAGTATATTTCTTTATATATTCATTTAAGACTTTATGTAGTCTGAAAAAAAAAAAAAAATTTTTTTTTTTTTTTTTTTTTTTTTAGATTTATCTTTTTGGACTTGGTTTTTTCTTAAATGTAATTTAGCAGTGTATTAAAAGCAAAATATCCTGAAAAGTAGTGTTAGACAATATGGAATGTATATGCATTTTGTATAGAACTGTATCAAATTTTCATTGTTGCGAAATTTAGATTCTATGATTCATGTTTTCAATACAAAACTTTAAAGGTTTTTATTAGAAGTGGAAAACCTTATTAAAGTCAAGATATATAAAACAGAAACTAATTATTAGATCAAACCTATGTATTATTGTTTACTGATATATATACTGGCTGTCAGTGGGCAAATGGTTAAAATTGCTAGACGGTAGCAATTTCTGTCAGGGTATCGTCTATGGCAGCAGTATGGCTGGGTGTGTGCTTAAATATTTTCATGATTTTCTTTGTAATATAACTCTAATATTTATCTGTATATTAACATACAGGCATGTAAAAAAAGAAAAAAAGATCTTAGTATTCACTTCAAGGAAGATAACCTTATGCATTTTTCATAAAGTAAAATATTTAGTGTATGTGAATTTTGATAATGTAAATTTTATTTGATCTTAGTAAAACCCAAGTTCTTTAATATATTATTCAGACTTGATCAATTTTAATAATATAAAATAGACGTTGTACAAAGTTTGAATAACTACAGTTATTAAAATTTAAATGATCTCCTCTTTATGAAATTTGTCTGTTATTAGTATATAGTATAAACTAACAAAATAGAAATTTAGTGTTTAGGATTATATGTATTTTATTATTTTAAATAATGAATGGTGTAACTGTTGAATTTTTGCCTAACTTTATGTAACTTGCTGCATGTATTAGCGTATATGTAACACTCCTTTATTTAACTTAAAAATTTCAAAATGTATTTTGAAAAATAATTCAAAGAATTTCTAATTAATGTTAGCTCTAATTTTTAACTTCATTGATTTCTATCGCCTGTCTGTTTTTTCTGAACTAATTAAGTGCATACTAAATTATTAAAGAAAGTCAGTTATTTATTAATTTTTACATTCATTGTGACATTTTTAGGTACATATTTAAATTTTGTTATTTTCTAGGACTGAAAGACCATGCGTGAGTTCAAGGTAGTTGTCTTGGGCAGTGGTGGTGTAGGAAAAAGTGCTTTGACTGTACAGTTTGTATCTGGCATGTTTATGGAAAAATATGATCCTACTATTGAAGATTTTTATCGAAAAGAAATTGAAGTAGATTCTGCACCTTGTGTTTTAGAAATCCTTGATACAGCTGGAACTGAGCAGTTTGCATCTATGAGAGATCTATATATAAAAAATGGTCAGGGTTTTGTTGTAGTTTACAGCATTACAAGTCATCAAACGTTTCAAGATATCAAGAACATGAAAGAACAAATTATGCGTGTCAAAAATACCGAACGTGTGCCAATACTTCTGGTCGGAAATAAACTGGACTTGGAAAACCAACGAGAGGTAACTACCATGGAAGGCATGGGACTTGCTCAACTATGGGGCTGTCCATTTATGGAAGCTTCTGCTCGAAATAAGTGTAATGTCAATGAGGTGTTTGCTGAAATAGTTAGAGAAATGAATTATTCAACAGTTAGAGAAAAGCAAAATTATTGCTGTTGTGTAATCCTTTGATGGTAAGTTTTACTTTTTTTATTAAACTATTTTCTACAGTGAAACCTCTAAAAATGACCATTTCCCTTAAATGATATTTTTCTATAAATTATCAAGTGTTTGTCAAAACATAAGTTGTATTGAACGTCACAGATTGCTGCGTTCTGTAAGGTGACCGCCACTACTAGAGGAAAAAATCATCTGTAAATGTGGGTGGTCATCTTGGGTAGATTTCACTGCAGTTCATTTATCTAGTAAAAGTATTTTGAGAAAAACTACATGTTCAAATATTTGTGCTTAGTTTGTAAAAAATGCTGGTTAGACTAGACTGAAGGGTATTATTGCAAAGTTGTCGTTTCATTTATTGTTAAGTCAAGGGAATGCTCATTGCCAAGTTTGTGCAATTCTCTAATGTTTTTTTAAGTAAAAAATAAGTTGACGTGTACATGGATAAAGTCAAGGAAGTGCACAATGCCTAGTTTGTGCATGGATCTGGGCAAGTCAAGTTTGTGCAGTCAATGTGCACATGGATACCAAGTTTGTGCAATTCTTTGACTTATTATTTTGTCTTTGTGTAGCGATGATTTTTGGCGCTAAAATCGCCGCTACACAAAGCCAAAATAACAAGTCAAAGAATTGCACAAACTCTGTATCCATGTACCAAATTGCCAATTTTGGCCAAGGGGGTACTCATAAATATACTTTTACCAAAATGCTATATAAAGTAATAGAAAACTATCCCAGAAGCATAAATATAAATTTGAAAATAAAAAACAAGGTATTGCAGATAATGTAAAATAACGAATTCAAGTCAGTTAAAATTCTAAGATTTTTTATTCAGTATCGTGATTACTAGTTGTCGCAGTCTAAATATTACCTTTTTAGCTCTAATATGCTGTTATTTTGTAAATAGCCCTTTGAAAGCTATACCTATAGAAGAAAATCCTGACGCTAAGAAATATAATTTATTGCATAACGCTTTATATTTAAAAGGATGTTATATGGATCATTTCACGTAACAGTATTTCTTGTGGAGCAACATTTTAAGTTGATAATATAAATGCTTTCTTCCATTTATAAAATATACCTTTAAAATATAGGATCTTCTATGTTACAACATTTCATAATCAGGCCAAAATGGTATTTGATATGCAGGTATGTTTTAAAGAAAAAATAGTATGATAAAAATTACTTTTATGTATTTGCCTGAGAGTTTTTGTGAATTGTTCTTAATACATTTTTTACTTTTTGAATTTACTGATCAAGAGTAATTTTTTATGCATTTCAAGATTGTATAATCATTTTTAATTTAAATGAAATTTATTAGGGATCTCTTATTTTCTGTTTGAGTGTTGCAAGTATGTGTACTGATTTATTAACTTGTTGAGATTTAAATCTTATTTATATTCATATCATAGAGCATTGGTCTCAAACTCAGATTGCATTCAGGCTGAATAAACAATCTAAGAACAGCTGATAGGCCTGAATTTTTTCTTCTTAAAAAATAAATTTTTTTATCAACAAAGTTTTTGAAAAAAATTTAACTAAATTGTAAATTATGCTTCTTATTATTTATCAGAGTATACATATTAATAATGCAGAAGGAAAAATTAAAATATTTATTAAATATTTTTGGTACTTTTCTGTTTTGCCCGCACAAACGATAAAGTCGGCAACAATGGTACAACTGATACCAAACAGAATATTCTTTGCTGGTAACCTTTTGCGCATCATTTTTAAAACAAGTCGCAGCCATTTCTTATCAGATTGATTGTTTCTTTCAATACTGAGAGAATTAGATTTTTGTAGCGTGGTTTACGTGAGATGAGATCGCGTGGGGTCGTGTGATACAAACTGGCGAATCAGGATGTTGAACCATGAAAGCATAGTAAATTCTTAATGTCTTTTTACAAATTTATTGTCTTTATTTATTAGCTTTTTAGAAAATTTTAAACCATATTAAAAAGTTTATGCCTTCAAAATAAAAAATTTTTAGAACTAACATTTGTTAAAATTTTTTATGTATATACTGTATGTTGTCGCCAACAAAGTCTGCTTGGCGAGATTTGCGCCGGCGAAATGGAAAAGTACCACATATTTTATATATATTTTCTATTTGGAATCTAAAAGTGTGGTACTTGCAAGGTATTGTAATTCAGACATACTGACAGCTAAATATTAATATTTAAAGCTGACATGTATTTCAAATAATCATTAAGTTTAAACTGTCATTTAATTTTAACTATAAATAAATTATGAAAACTTATTCAGAGAAAACCTTCCAAGTTCGACAAAGCTTGAAAATGACAACTTAGTTTTTCTCTTATTTAAATTTTTCTTTGGCAAGTAAATTAAAATACATAAATCTGTATGTAAATAGCTGTAAACTTCTTTATAAACTACTGAAAAAATTACAAATTTTATTGAAAATGGTAATGCAAAGCAGAATCAACACATATTTACATGACGAGTTAATGTTCTTGCTGATATTGAGAAATAATAAATCACAGTTCAGTAAATTTCAACTTTGATTTCCTCTCAAGCACTGTACAGTGAAGGGCTTTTTACCTGCAGGTCACATTCAGTTATGGTTAGAAATTATATTGCATGTTTCTTAGAGGTTGTATACAGTACAGTGATACTGTTTCTTGCGATTCTGCTTCTGGTGAGCGACACCCATTACTTATTGTATTTTCTATAAGTTGCAGAGTATCGGAAGAGTTTTCATATTGATAAGAATTTAATATTCTGTTGGCGAAAGAAGATATATGATAAATGCAAATTTTTAATAGTAATTTAATATTTTTTGTAAACGTGTTTAAATGCCCACTGTTCCTTATCTTTGATGATCACGAAACATATCCATTAATCAGTATAGCCAAGAAATCTTAGAATGAATGTTCCTCCTTTGGATGAAGCTATTATTTCACACTGCAGATATTTTGCAACCTTTTGATATGTATTTTAGACCTCTTAAAAAACTCTTATAAGATAAAAAGACCGGTAATAATAGCACTCGAATTGCAAAATCTTTCTTTTCATTTCCATCTCCTTGCATCACTGTTAAAAACTAGTATGCTGAATCTTAAACATTGCATTTTTGAAAAGCAAGAAGTATCTTGTAATGCATCAATTTCATTTTTTAACTGCATTGCTTCCAAGCTTTTTATGTATGTGTCAAACATCTCCATTTGCCAGTCGGTCTATACTATCACTGTCCTCTGAAAACCTATTGTATAAAACCTAAATTGAGTACTTAAAATAATTTGCTCAGAAATACATCAAAGAATTGTACAAGTTCTGTTGTTACCGTATTGACTTTCCAGAATCGGAAAAGTCTTAGGCAAAGAGCTTATTGTAACACGACATAAAACAAACATTTTATATTTGGCAGTGCAGCTAAATTATATGATGTTCATTAATTTTATTTTTAGGATCCTAGTCAGTTTCATTTAAATATGCAGTCGTAAATGTTAAAATGGTGGTTGTAAGCAGTTAGAGCATACCATAGAGGTTATTTTGGTTAAAAAATTCATGAAATGCATTTGGGCTTATTCTGCATCTGAATGCTCCAGATATCTGTTGATAGAAGAGATCAGAGATGGGAAATCTATACTTACAAGTATTCCTAAACTAAGGCTGATGTGGACTTTGTGATTTTTTTATATAATATTTGATTGTTTGTAATAAGGAAGAATGCAGCAGTAAAAAAAATTTTTTTAATCCGTTGTAATCCCACTTTGTGATTTCATATATGTGAATAAGCTTTCAGATTTACTATTCCAGACAATCAAATAAAAAAACAAAATACAATAAGTTTGTTTCTTCTATTCCACCTCATCTAGATTGTATAGTTCATAATTAAATTATAAATTCAAACAAGATAAATTCCTACAATGAACTAATTTCCTGTTGTGGTAAATGCATAGCCAGAAAATTTGATGCCTTTTACCTGGAGTAGTGTTTGAGGTTGATCTTTACATTATGGTAACTTGGCGTTTTTTTTGGCGAAAATTTGGCGACCAACTCTCCTACAGCAACCCTCTTTTTTTTTTTTTCCCCGCCGCCATTTTGTCTTCATGAAGTAAAGACATGTTTCTTTTCTTTTTATCTACTGAACACTTCTTCCAACAATCTACTAGCCGAATTACACTTATGCTAGAAATTTTATCTAACAAAACTGCTTAATCATGACAAATATTCACTGCAAAATTGGGAAAAGTGTGCAATACTCCTTACGCGTTTTTCAAAATAACACATACACATAAACCATGTACACGCCGACTTATTTTTACTTAAAAAAACATCCCAGAATTGCACAAAAATGGCATTGTGCACACTCTTCACTATATCCATGTACACTGCTTTTTTCTCATAAATTAGAAAAATTTCACGAAAATACATGACAATTTTCTGAATCTTTAAACCCGGTAAAAAGAACATATATGAAATTACCTGATCGCAAAAAAGTATATACCCTTTCCAAATATGAACATTTCCACATATAAAATAAATAAAATATCCAAAAACTTTTACCTCTAAATCATCTATTATATTACAAACGTCACTAACTAATTCATACCGCAAACATTACAAATGGTTACAAATACTTAGTGTCAAATATTTAAATTATTTCCATGCACGTTTACGCAAATTACTTTACTTCCGCCTTACATTTAGAACAATGCATAAAAATAATATCCTCAAATAATTAAAAATACTAACTGACCTATTCTTCTTCAGAATCTTGATTACGTGTCCGATAAACTTTTCTTATTTCTGTTTCAGGATCTTTAAAATCATACTTATAGTTCACACCAAGGTACCAGGTAAAATAAAATAACTTAATAAAACATCTTTACTTCTATCTCGCACAACCTTAAAGAAACACTTATTACTACCCCTTTCAATCCCACTAAATACCCATTTCGAGGTCACTTTAGTTAGGGCCATGGGATCCAAAAAATTAACGAACACTGTTTCACACAGCACAGAATAAAGCCAAATACAAAATTTCCAGATT